ATAATCTTGGTGTAGGAAAACTTCTGACTTTAAAGAAAGTCACAAAACATGTTTTTTTTTTTTTGTTTTGTTTATTTCTGTAATGCTTTGGCATTTGGCAAACACAAATGATATTGATAATCCTAAGTGACCTGAAACAGAAAATGTTTCATCGATTTAATGTGAAGAAGTGAGGAAAAAATGTGAGTTTGTTTATTTTGTTTTGTTTTGAAGTGCATGTAAGTCTCTTCTTTTCAGACGACGTTCCTGATAGACAATAAGAAAGTGTTTGGCACTTACCTGATGCAGGACATGATTAAAGATGCCCTGAGATACTTTGTTAGTCCACCAGTCCTCTCCTACAAGTAAGTTTTTGTTAAATGTAGGGTATTATCATCATTACAATATTATAATTAGTAGATTATGCGTAATGTGTACAGTCTTTGCTTCTATCAGCAGCTTAGCTGCCTTTAAGGTTAGAATTAATGTCTTTAGTAAATAATGTGATTTTTTGTCCAGATGTTGTCTCTCCAACAACCACCAGGCCAAGGACTACATCGACTCCTTTGTTACTCACTGCTCCAGGGTACATTCTAGACATTCAAATTTGTGCATTGATGTACTTCCTGGGATTTTAGAACATTAGCTTAGATCATTAGTGCGGTTACAGGGAGCTGTGCCTCGTGAGATGTGATTATTACATATCAACTGCTACGGTTTCATAACACCTCCACTGAAACCTGCTGTTTTCCGGTGCAGCCTTTCTGCAACCTCATCCAGATCCACGGACACAACCGAGCGCGGCAGAGAGACAAACTGGGCCACATTCTTGAAGAGTTTGCTACGCTACAGGATGAGGTGAGATTCAGTCATTGTAGGTTAAACAAAATATCAGTGATTTGTTGTGCATATCACAAGCTAGATTAGCTTGGGGAGTTTAGGTGCTTTATAAGATGTTCATTTTTTTTGCTCTTCAGGCTGAGAAGGTGGATGCAGCACTGCACAGCTTACTGATGAAATTGGAGCCTCAACGGCAACATTTGGCCTGTCTCGGCACCTGGATCCTGTATCATAACCTGAGAATCATGATCCAGTATCTCTTGAGTGGTTTTGAACTGGAGCTTTACAGCATGCATGAATACTATTACATCTACTGGTCGGTGCTAATGTATTATTTTTAATTTGGCTATATCTAAAGAAAAAAAAAATATATGAACTAATCAACTGTTTTTGTTTTTGTTTGTTTTGTGGTTGTAGGTACTTGTCAGAGTTCCTCTATGCATGGCTAATGTCGACACTAAGCAGAGCTGACTCCTCTCAGATGGCAGAAGAGCGGATTCTGGAGGAACAGCTGAAAGGACGGAGCAGCAAAAAGACCAAGAAGAAGAAGAAAGGTGCAGTTTTCAGTCTAACCTAAGCATGATTCGGAATATTAGGTTTCCATGTGGAAGTGACATGAGGCTCCAGAGCACTGAAACTGCTTTATTGTGCTTTGCAGTTCGCCCCCTTGGCAAAGAGATCACCATGAGTCAAGCATACCAGAATATGTGTGCTGGCATATACAAGGTAGGAAACAATAAATTATGTTTTTGACACCCTTCAATTTGTCCATGTCCTTCCTCATTCTCTTCTGTCAGACCATGGTAGCTTTGGATATGGACGGAAAGGTGCGAAAGCCCCAGTTTGAGCTGGACAGCGAACAAGTCCGCTACGAGCATCGCTTTGCTCCCTTCAACAGTGTAGTTACTCCCCCGCCTGTGCACTACATCCAGTTTAAGGTAAAGTCAGTGTGTGACCTATTCAGCAGTCCGCCTATCCTACCGCAAACCGTTTTATTTTGTTTTTCTTCCCATCTCCAGGAAATGTCGGATCTGAAAAAGTACAATCCTCCACCAGGTTCTGCAGACCTTTACCTGGCTGCCAGCAAACACTTCCAGCAGGCCAAGATTATCCTAGAAAGTGTGCCAAACCCAGACGCTGAGGTCAGGAAGTCAATCTGTTGTTCATCTGTTATGGTGGAACATTTTTCAGTTTTTGCAAGCTCTAAAAGCAGATAAATATTAAAGTATCAGTAAATAATTCAGTTTCTACAGTAATGAAATTTGATGCCTAGAAGAATCAGAAGTATTTTAAATAAAAATACCTGGTGGCTTAAAATGTTTTTGATCAAACATTAATCCCTATTGCCAATCTATGAGTGCAATTATTATCATGTTGGAATGACAACACATTTATTTTCTCTATATTTATGGCTATCAGTATCAAATAATAAATTATTGATGGCAGGTAAAACGCATACTGAAAGTGGCCAAGCCCAACATAGTAGTGATGAAGCTTCTAGCCGGGGGCCACAAGAAGGAAACCAAGGTAACACGATTTATTTACAATGAAAACATCTTAGATCTATTTCAAAATGTAGACTAGTTTATGTTTTTAAAAAGAAAGCAGTCTGTTTTCTGTCAAGTAAGTTTTTAGCTGTTATGCATCAGCTGTACTTTATTGGAGTGTGATAAATTTTATTTTCCTGTATCTCCAGGTGCTGCCAGAGTTTGATTTCTCCGCTCACAAATATTTCCCTATTGTCAAGATCATTTGAATCCCACAGTCTGGCACCAGAAGGACTCAAACACCCTGACCTAGTCCATGTTGGAACGATAGTAAAATCACCCAGCTGTAACATCACATAGAGCTGTGTCTTGTCTTCTATTTCTGACTTTACTGAGGTTTTTTTTGTTTTGTTTTTGTTTCATTATCCCATTAAAAAGCATCTTCTAAACTGGGATTAATGTGTGTATATCTTCATTAAATCTCTGTTTTAATGTTGGTGATCGTGTCGAGTCAAATGAAAGCATGAGTTTTTACACTGAAAAACTTAGCTTCATAATCATATTAAGGACAACAATTATTCAGTCTGCTCATAAAAACATTCACAGATAAGGTGGGGGAGTTTATTTTCTAGCTGTAACCTATGCAATAAGTCTCTGACTAATTCTTAATGTGTAAAAAATAACTGTGGTTATAGTTTCTGTTTTTAGCTCCATTTGTGTCATTTCTGGAACTATTTTGTAAAAGGAGATATTTTTACAGTAACTTGAGAGCTGACCTTGAGTGTCATGGCCCCATATTGACCTTGAATATTAAATTCAGTTCAAAAGATCTTGTTTGGCTGACCGTCCTGTTGACTTTACTGTACAACTGTCAAGTTAGTCTCCAGTTCTCTCCATAATGTCACATTTCTGTATTAAAAAATATTTTTTGGTGGACTAGGTATACTGTTAGGTATACTAACCTATCTCTTAAGTTTATTCAGTAAGCTTAAGAGAAATTGGTCACTCGGTGTATATAATTTAATATTTGACATTCATGTATATACTACTAGGAAAAAGTAATCACACTTACTGTTTTCTGTCACATTTCAGATCATCACACAAATATCGGTCAAAGACAACATAAGTAAATACAAAAATAAATTTTCAACTCATTAAATTAAAGTTACTTAAACTCAGCTGGGAAAAAATAATTGCCTTCTAAATCTAATAATTAATGTCAGCAACATCTGAGTTTTTACTGATCCAAGTTTGAGAATTAACTTGTTTAAGATTACACTACTGTATCTGAACTAGATTTGAGCCTTACCTTCACTAATACTGACCTTAACTGAGGCAGGTGGGACTATTTACATCTGTCAAAAAAGAATAACATAAGGGTCTGTAACAATAAGATGCATGTTAATGTGAGGAACTGCACCCCTCCACTCTACCTCCTTTCATTGAGAGGGCCCAACACACTTCCTGCTCAGAAAGGTTAACACTTACCCAGCTATCTGCGCCTGAGGTACTTAAACCCCAAGTCTGCAGTGTTCACCTCTGAGAATCTGTTGAGCTGGTTATCAGGGAAACTCGCCTGAAAGGCAATCCACATGTTTGGCATTAATCGGACTAAAGCTTTGATCAATATGAAAAACAGCTAAGCCTCCATTCAGTGTCTTTATCCTTGCAGGACACAGGTGGTGTCTTATCTCCAGCAGTCACTGGGTGAGAGGCGGGGTACAGAGACTGGCTGCCATTCCATCACAGAGCAACCATGGTCTGTGGAAGCATCCACAGGGAGAACATGCAACACTCCAATGCTGTACAACCACAGGTTAGATCAGAATCAGAGACCTTCTTGTTATTTCCTCCTCCATCAGACAGACCAATAAACGGGCTATTTATAATGCAGAAAGTTAAGGCCTTGCAGAGAATCATGCCGAACCGCAGAGGTTGCCTGTACTTCAGAGCCCTCTGCTGGCTAAAGTGTGCTACAGCAATCATTCTGATCTCTTGACACCCGTGACAGTATTTCACACCCTGAAACCAACAAAGGTATGCACATAACTGAGCTCTCAGCTAGTATCGGGTAACCATTACACGTGTCAACACATTGTCAAATCTTCTAATTTTTAGCAACATGGACATGCTCTAAATTTAGTCCAGATAGTGCCAGGCCTTCAAATGTGTTCAATGAAATGTCATAGTCTCTTAAAGAAGGAAATAGATTTCCTGTGCTTCCTGTAGATTTATTAGCACATAAACAGAATGATCCATATTTCACAACTGAGAGACTGAACTTCTAACATCAGAGAAGGAATGCATCTAAAAGTTGCAGGACAGTAACTCTCAAACACTGGAGTTGGACACCTCTGCTCAAGTAAAACCTTCTGTTTTTTAGATTTCCCTAGGTCTATACTGCAAACACTCAGGTGTTGTGTTGGAATGTTTTCCTTTTCCCCCGTTACCTGTAAGTCGTGTTCATAGTGTTGGGATTGAGACAAGGCATCCTGCTCTGCTCCATGGTAGGTTGAGCTGAGCTAGTATTTAAAAATGTGGGGAAATGAATTGTATGATGTGACACTGGATATTAGAAAGAGTTTGACGCTCCAGTTTGAAAACTGGAAGTGAAACTCAAACATGATAATGGTTTTTCAGTTATGGAAATGAGACCTTGAATGTTCAGATAGCATAGCACACGCAGACAAAGCATGAAGTTATGATAGTTCTATCTTTTTATTTATGGAGATGAATGATGGGAAAATGGGCAGCTGGACAAAAGTACTGTATTTTACTATGGTCTTAACTCATACTTTTGAAATATTTATCTAAGATTACAGGCTATAGTTTGACTAATAAGCACAAAGAAATAGGTAAATATGATAGTCATTTTAATTATTAAATAAGGAATATCTGGAAAGTATTCATCAGTTTTCCTTCATTGTTTTGCCAATCCACTCCATGTACTGGCAGATGTCCAGCATTACAATGGAGTTAGCACATGTATCCGCAGGCTGGCTAACAATAATTCCTTGCAGATATCCTTCGTACTCCACAGCTGAGCCTGCATCGCCCTGAGACACAGAAATCAGAGGCAGGATGGTTTTACATGTGGAACAGTGTCAAAAAACAAAGCTACAGTATTAAATATGTATATGTATCAGTGAAATGGTTGTCTTACAAAGCAGGTCTCCACTCCAGGTGAGAAGCCACAGATTGTAGATTTACCGTTGCTGTATTTTCTGTCAGGTTTATCTTTCTCCCACTCAGAGATCTCTGTCGTGGCACATCTGACCTCACCAACCGGTTTACCGCCTGATAAAAACAAAAATCCTGAAATGTCATTTCCTTTCACTAAAAATAAATTGTTTCATTTATGACTATTTTTTTTTTTTAATATTCCTACCTTTTGCCTTTGCTCCCATTCCTCCAATCTGCACTTTTGCTCTTGGCTCTAGCTTGTGCATTCTCCTGAAGGGAGGCTGATGGTGGGAAGTTTGACTGACATGTCCTCATTCAGCTGGATGAGCATAATGTCATGGGCATTTCCTTCTTCATCTTTGAAGGTGTGCTGCTGTTTGGCCGGAATAGTTTGTTGGAGTTTTTTGGATTTGCCTTTTAACCAAGAGACAGATTTTGTAAAAAAGGACACATCATTGTTTATGCCGAGCTTCACTGTGACTGTCCTGCAAAAAAAAAAAAACAAAATTGTAGTGAAATTAGTGGATGCTCAAACTGTCACATCAAACACACTGCTGCAAAGTCAGTAATTCAAAAAAATAAAATAAAGCGCAAATAGAAGAGATCTGCGGATGTCTTACTGCTCTGCACAGTGAGAAGCTGTGATGACCCAGCGGGGATTGAGCAGAGCGCCTGCACAGGACTTCCCGCCCTGAGCGGACTCTATCTGGACATGGTACTGGCGATCCTTGTCACAGGATCTACTCCCAAGAATCCTCTTCTCAATAGCGTTTGATGCAGCACCTGAAAAGGAAGAAACAACAGCCATCCAGCGTGCTGCAAGTATCAAACACACAAAGCAGAATGTCTACCGAACAACTTTCAGCCGAGGTCTAAGGCCACTTTCTGCCTGTAAGCTGCTGGTAACTTCAATTTCCTGAGGGAGTCTTCCCAAGGGATCAATAAAGTACAAGTCTAAGTCTAAGTAGCTGGAGAAGGAAAAAAACTCACCTGCAACCAGCAAAAGGAGTACAAAGCAATGCTCCATCGTGGTTCTTGATGAGGATCACCTCTGGTGTCTGACTGACGCTCTGTCTTTTATAGGCCTTATCAGCGTCTGGGGGACTTTTTTTTTTCTTTTTGCCATAGGCTAGCCTGGTTAGGCAGCCAATTACAAGTTCCCCTAAAACCTGTTTTATCATGGTGCATCAGTCAAATGAACTTAACAGCACAGAAGATAAATGGACGAATGGATGTGTTAAATGAACAGTAGCAACATTTTAGCAACAGGAAACAAATGAGGACAACCTCGTTCTAAAAGAAGTTCCTGTAAAGGTCACAGTAAATTTTGTCCTGTTGTTGTGGTACATTTTATGTCATTATTATAGCTGTGAAGCTTGTCAAAACGTATATATTCTTAAAATTTATGACTGCTCGTCCCCTCTTCCTGTCACCATCTGTACTGTTGATGTTAACCACCAGCTTGATTTCCTCTTTATCAAAATACAATGAACCTGAATGTGTCGGCCATAAAATCAACCTACTGGACCTGAGATGAACAAAAAAGTGTTACATACATTCAAGAAATTTTAATACCTAGTCATATGCAATAAATTAAAATATATTTTCTAATTAAGTTTGTCAGATTAAACAAATCTTTTAAAAATAGCCTTATAGCAAGAGTTAAACCAACTTTTCATATATCCAAGTAAAAGTTACTATATGACATAGTATTTTATTTTGCAGAGAACTGTATGTGTGAGTTTCCAGAGTTCAATAAACCTATTATTCATGCAGCAGCATAAAGTTCACACTTTATCCCTCTAGCCTAAATTTATTGCTGCATCTGGCCAAAGGAGGGTCAGAGTTTATGGAAAGTAAAACTACTCGGAGAGTTGTTTACTTAAAATGTGAATCAAATGAAGATCAGTTCACTCCCAAGTTAAATTAAAGTTAGAACTTTCAGAGATGAATGAAATCGAGAGCAAAAAGCGTAGCTGACAATTTATGGCTGTGAGTACACTGTTAAATACTGCTAAAATATATCCCTGTAGACCTTTTGAGAAGTAGGCTTTCAGTTCATAGTCCCACTTGCTGAGCTTGAATTTTTTAAACTGAAAAAGCAATGAGCTAGCAAATTTTCTTTGTACACCTTGCTTTGCATTTGAACTAACTATCACTAAAATACTGTGGTACATTTTTATCTGAACGCACGCGTAGATAATTATTCAAATGTTTTTTGACCCAATAGATTGTGTGCTTTCACATTGCCATTAAAAGTTGGAATTTTGCTCAGGCAAAATTAAAAGGTAAACGAGTTCAGTTATTCTGATGATGAAACATGTTGCATTTGCTAGTTATAGGATATTCCTCTTTGACAATCTAAATAAAATGTTTGGTTTTTTTTCAGACATCATTAAGAAGAACAACGTAGTGTGAATGAAAAGCAAAGTTAAACTAAAATGGTGGAGAAAAAAAACTGAAAACTTCCCTTCGAATTGAAGACAGACCAACTAAAATGGAAAAACTTCTAATCTAATGATCAAATGTTGGGTAATCAGTGAAGGCATATGGTTAATTATGTTTCTTGCTATCAGCGGAAAGACCTCAAAATGTTACAAGAACATATTCGCTGGTCAAAATAGAAACGATGCAAATAATTGTGGAATGATGGAAGAAAAAAATCATTTTTGGTCATGAGAAATAGCACAAAAACCAATACTAATAAAACATTTTTTATTCAACTCTATTGTAAATAAAACAACATGATTATTTAAATCTTTCATTTTAGAAGTAAAATGATGTCATAGCAACAAATCAAAACAAAAAATAAAACACATTTTCTTTAAGGTTAGCACATTTGCATTTTAGAAAACTGTCTTTTTTATTTATTTTTTAAACAGATAAAGTATTTGAAGATCACAATTAAACTGTCTAATGTCTAAACTTTACATTAACAGACAATAGTAAAATATGTAAAAGCAGAAAGAAAACAAAAAAATCTTGTACTCGAGGATTTTCATTGGCAGTTCTCCATCAAGGCTGACATTAAATAATTCTGGTAAAAATTATTACATTACAGCTTTCTGCTTGTTAGCAGGTACGTTACTTTGTGATTCCAGCTAAACTGCTTGACATTTTTCTTGAAACTGTGGCAACTCCTTACTTCGGATTATGGAAATAAACAAAGCTGCTTAATGAATTAACAGATCTCCAGTTTGCTAGGGTTTTGTGTCAGATCTATTATTCAGCATAATAAAAGAAAAATGACAAAATTTTAACACTATGAAGTTTGTGAGTCCAAAAATGCTGCAAAAAGGTTTAGATAACAAAGAAACCTATGAGTTTATTTACATTTACAACATTTTTGGAGTTTTGTTCTGTATTTCAAAATGTCACTAGAAAGTGTGCATTTCCCATGAAAATGCAAGTGTGAACGCTGAATGCGTTTGGTAAAAATGGCAAAAGCGTTTGAAGCCAACTATTGAAGATTTGCAGAAAGGTAAGAACTAGTTCATGCAGTGTGAAAAACCCATGTAAAAGCCAAAATTAGCTAAAAAGCTAAAACTAGCTAAAATACTAACGATGGCATCTAGGCTACCACCAGCATGTCTGCCTAGGAAGAGAGGCAGACATGGAAAAGTGGCACTTCCAGTCGCAGGTGCAGAGGAGTCATGTGGGGGAGGAGGGAGTGACGAACATGAGGAGCAGACAGTCAGAGAAGCTTTTGCCTGGCAAAACGATGTGAAATAATATCTGCAAACAAATGTTGGCTATCATTCCACCACCATTTCTGAGATTTAGCACGGTGACTATAAAAACCATGTCACATGCAGTATGAAAAAAAAAGCAACAAGAAAAGCTCAAAATATTCCCAGGTGTTAAACTGACCAACTTCAAAATGGCCACTACCTTTGTGTCCTCCATGACAGTCCTGAAACTGGATGATTGATTGCCATTAATAGGCCGGACCGAAATCATCCACTGTGAAACACAACGGACAGTGAAACTGGTCCTTGTTTTTATATTTTTTAAAGTTACTTGTTTTAATTTCAGTCTAGGATAATTAAGAAGCATTTAAACAATTAAAAATTCCCAAATTAGCGTGACATTTATTCTAATAAGAATATATACAAAGTTTTTGTACTTATAAAAACTTGTAAAACTATAAAACATAAAATCCAGTGTTCATACATTGTGTGTTTTTACATGCGTTTACCTAGATAACATGGCTGGAGGGTCACTCGTTGGCACAGACCGTCTTCACCTGCCTGTATGTACATAACCCCGACCTCATTGAGGAGCCAGCACTCAAAGCCTTTGCCCTGGGTTTACTAAAAGTGTGTGACATCGCACGAGAAAAAGTAAACAAGGCAGCTGTGTTTGAAGAGGTGAGCTGTTTTACCTCTCGTGCTCATTGTGGGGATAAATGTTAGAGAAAGCTACAGGTATGAAGTCTAGTCAGAAAAGCCTTGAGGAATGTGTTCTAAGTCACTCATTAACACCGCTGTGGTGCATTACATCTCCACTGGAGCTCCTCATTGAAGAGTAGGCCCAACTGCGACTGTACTTGGCAGCTTTCAGGTGTGAATGTGTGTAAATAACTGAATGTGGTCAGGCCACTACCTCCGAGAAAAATGATCCCTTGATAAATTTCAAGATTCCTGTGCAGGAAATTTAGTATGGGATTTGATTACTGCATGTTTCAGGTATTTACTAATACAGGAAAAAAATAGGAGTGTAGAAAAATACTCATATTTTCATTCCCATTGAATAAATGTTGTCTTTTGCTCCTTAATTTTTTTCATTCCTTTATTCTATTTTACCTCCTTTGTCTTCTAATTTTCTTCTTGTTTCCATATTTTCATCCTTAAGTTTTTCTTGCGTGGTCCTTTCTTCCTGATCTCCCTCCTCTTTTGCCCTTCTTTCCTTATTTCCATCCATCTTCCCAGTTTCTTGCTTTTTTTCCAAGTTTCAAAATGTTTAGCCACTGAAGAAAGAAACTAAATTAAGATACAAATTGGTTAATTAATTTTAATGTGTTATACCGTTGAGAAGAGAGACGATTTGAAACATTTTAATTTCATTAATGTTTAATTAATGATTTTAATGTTTTCTATAGGAGGATTTCCAGGCGATGACTTATGGGTTCAAGATGGCCAATAACATCACTGACCTGCGGGTGACAGGTGCTTATTTGTTGTATGTTGTAAACATGTGCAGTGTGTTCAGATAAATAAGATGTTTCTTTCTCTCATGCTGATCTTTTGTAGGCATGCTCAAAGACGTGGAAGACGAGTTACAGAGGAAAGTCAAGGTATTTTACTTTTACTGCAGCCGATTTTCATATTTAGGATCACTAGATCAAGTGAGAAAAAAAACAAAACAAGGAAGACATCAGAATGTTTTAAGTGGCCTTGGGAATCAAACATTAACATTTGCTTAGCTTCTTTCTTAATATGTTTGAAAATTTGAAACTCCTTGGCATCTGAGGAAATCCATTTCGCCTATCATTTTCAAAACGTGCATTTTCTTTTATTGTCAGTGTATGTTTTCGGTGTCACTCTGTCTATTCGTAAGCTTTACTGCCAGTAGACTTCCCGTCTCCAATGTCACTGGTGGCTCTTTGAAGAAACAATTGTTTTTGTTTACATGCACAATACATGATGTCCACTCCGCAATCATGTAAATGAAAAAATTTGATCTAATATTGACGGTAGGGAGACTACAGCCAAAATAACTGCATTGAGTGTGTGGGCAAGTTGAGCCAGCATATGGTTAAATGGATCAACTTTCGACTTTATTTGCTACACTTATCTTCAGTTTATGACCTCATGTTGTGTAGCTCATACATATTACAATTGACATACGAAACTAATTTTAAAATATTTCTGAAATGCAATTCTTATAAAACTTATAAATTCACTTTTAAAACTGAAAAACAGTTTTGAGAAACAGAAGACGAACCGCTACCCATAAGGTTCTTACTTCAAAAACGTTGACAAATGATGCCTTCTCAATTATTTGGTCACATCATTAATGTTTTTTATTTTTTATTTTATTTTTTTACCATTTTAGAGAAACAAGGGGTGGTTCAGCTTATGCGTTGACTCAAAAGCCCAATGTCCCTGCTTTCTATGTCCTGATATGTTGCTTCTCCTCGCAGAGCACACGCAGCGGCAAGGCGAGCAGAGAAACCCAGAAGTTGAGCTGGAAGTGAGTTTACTGTGTTATACATATTTAGTATAGACATTTAGCTTTGTGCTACCTTTCTGATGGGTGTGGGATTGCATGCAGTGAATCATATTGCCCCATTGTTGTTAATCTAATAGCTTTACACTTTTGCATATATCTCACATATTGTTTGCTATCTCATTTGTGGTCCTGTGAAATTCAAATGAGCTTTAAAACTGGTTGAAATTTTCAGTAGCTTTGTTGTAATAAATATGGGAAATGAAATTGTCCTGAACATTAAAAAT